GCTAATCGTTTCAAAAGTGGTTTATGAATGTAAAGTACCATAATTTACAAATAACTTTGTGCTTTTGTTTTCGTTTTAATTTAGCAATATATATCATTGAAACGAAAAACTACAAGCTATATCTATCTATATGGTATTTTACATTCTTAAGCCATTTTTGAAACGAAACAACCAAGACGACAACTAAAAAAAAAATCACGTGTCAAAATTCCCACGCAAAAAGTTTTAGGGGGCACGACAGAGATGGCGTGCATTATGGGTGCCATTTTCTTTGTTTGAAGTTGACATTCTTCCCGCCTAAGGATATTAGTGTTCTGTGGCCCGGGCACGGGCGGTTACTGAAAATGTGGTTTTGCGTTTATACATTGGGCAAATATAGCCCAACGTTTACTAAAGCGATGAAACTTTCACGTTGGCCGATATTTGCTAATTTCAAAGCTTTTTTTTATCATTATTACAACATATAATATCGTTACGTCAATAATCTGACATATTAAATTTTACCACACATTTTAACAATATTACAACAAAGGTTTTCATCAGAGTTATCATCTTATTGGCCAACGTTCGTCAATACTTTATTTATTAATGTTGGAAATTGGCGTATTTGGCCAATACTGTAGAAAAAGCCTTATACAAAGCACAGTGCTGCCCTCTGCTCCAGTTTATCGACGACCGCGCAATAACAGTTGCTTTAGTGTTGCAATTATTCTATTATATCGTAAATAAAATACGAGTTTAGAATAAATAACTGGCATTTTCACATCAAGCAACAACTATCTTTTATTCCAGACGTGCTTATAACATTAAGGCCTTAACTTGCATAAAATTATTATAAAATTATCTTTTTCGTATACTGGCTAGTTTAAAGTTCTATATTTTGAGTTGAAATTCTAAATTTAAATAAATGACATATTAAAGCTGATAGTACTTTTAAAAATCAGTTGATCATTTTTATTCCCGCTGTTTATTTTCCCTTTAATACCGCTTTGTCTGGGACTTTATATAGGTGGTATAGATTATACGTGGTAGAGCCATGCTGCGGCTATATTATGGTTGTAGCACAAATGGGTCGGCTCGACCGGGGTGGGACCACGCTCTCACAGAACACCAGCGTAATATAGCAGCTTAAAGCTGCTGTGTTTCGTATGGTGAGTGTGGCAAACCGGAGACCCTTTTTACTGGAAAAAAGGCATTTCATCTTAGTGCTCATATGTGATAACTGTTAACGCATCTACATTTTTATTTTATTTATTTAAAAAGTTCTACCTACAAATTGTTACAATTTAATATACTAATCTAAAATTATAATAAAATCTTATAATAATTGCACAATCACTTACAGGTTAACACCGCTACTTATTATTTTTTTAAAAAATAATAATTAAAACATTTTAAAGCAAAACAACCAGTGATTATGTGTAATAAGCTTACAAAAAAAAAATACGGTTGACCCTGCAGGCATCCCTGTCGAACTTCCCGCTATGTTCGATCCCAAAACGCTGGACAAATATTTTTACGAACTAATAGTTAACTCATTACATCAAAAACGATCGGAGCAGAAATTTCGAAGTTATTAGAAAAAAACAACCTTTTTTTTTAAATCTTTTGCCATCTAATTGTCTTCAGTGCATTAACAAATTTTAAAGCGATTCGCAGCAATGAACGTCGTTTTCCATGTTTAAGAGCTGATTAGATTTTAGAATTAATCGTAACATAAGTTTAAAAGTTATTCTCAAAATCTACTGAACCAAACCGGTTGAAACAGTACTGAAAATCTAAGTTTGATGAAACCCTCTCGAACACAATTTCGTTCAAATAAGTCAAACCGTTTAAAAGTTATGAGAGGTTTACATACACACACAGGGCCCCCGCTACCATATGTGCAAAGTGTGCAATGCACACGGGCGCCATCCTTTAGGGGCGCCAAAACCCAGGGTCAAAAATTGCAAAAATCTCCAAAAATAAAATAATTTTAAAATAAACGTTAAGAAATTAAATAAGATTAGGTATAAAAACACGAAATTTTATTAGTATATTATCCAGTTACTGCCGATTCCTATGTTGCGAGAACATGTCAGGCGGTAGTTTTTTGATTTTTCCTGTTCAGACATGAACAATGCCCGGAGCGCTATAAAAGCGATGCATCGCCAGAGGCGTTTTTGAACCGGTTAGTTCACTGTACCGTGAAACTAGTGCCTGAAAACAAGTAATCCTATTAATTTTTACATTTAAAATTATTTTTATTCTGTCAAGTGTTGTGTTGTATAATATTTTGTTTACTACTATTTTTTAAAAAAAATTAAGTGCTGAATACCTGCTAACTGCAATTTCAACGGTTTGATTTTTTATAAAATGGTAAGTGTTCCCTACTTTACTTTATACTATCAAAATTAAGCCTTTATAGGAATGCTATCTGTTTCCTATTCCTGTCTGTTTCCTGTTTTTATCTAATAACTTCAATAGATAACATAGGAAAAAACCTACAACTTCTGCATAAAACATTTTTTTCTATCTGACATAATAAAGGCTCTAGGAAGCACGTAAATATAGTCAAAGACCCTGTACGAGTTTAAAGAAGTAATTGATTTTTTATCCATAACTCGAGTTAGTTAGTCGATCTTTTTAAAAAACCATTTTGTAGGTATTTTAAGGGCTATAAGATCAAATTAGTTGAATACTTTTCTGCCTTTATTTTTCCAAGGGTTAAAGCTGAAAGGGCTCGAACAAATTGCTTTTTACTTAAATATGCAATATGCAAACTTGGTGCTTATTATTGTGCTTACTTTAGAAGTTAATTCCTAATTCCCATAAGTACTAATTATTTATTTGTTTTTTCAGGATAAGAGAAAGAGACCTTCAGGTGCGAAGTTTCGCGAGCAAAAGAAACTGAGACTACAAGAAAGGGAAAAAATGGCTGGATCTTTAAAGCACTTCTTGCAAAACAATGAAGATTCCACGGAGACTATCGATGCGACCGAATCTCAAGATTCTAAATCTGTAATATCAGTGACCGTGAGTGGCCCATCTGAAACAACAGAGGCGACTACGGTAACATCAGGTCCTGCAACAAGTGGCGGCGATTGTAGCAGCAAAACAGCTTCTGCTGATGCAGAGGCCGATGAAGCGATGACACCGTCCTCGTCTACAGCACTTGAACAATCCACTTCAGGTAATTCAGCTTGTGTAAGAAGTTCGGTAATGTCAGCTACCGAAATACCTGCTGCAAGTGACACTTTCAATGAAGGCTTTAATAAGGCTAGCGTCGATATAATTCCATCCGAGCCCGGTTTGTGGCCCGAAATAATCACCAATGAGATAGGTAGAACATCGGTTAAACGTGGTCCGCCCTTGATAGACATCAGTTTTAGCTTTCATAGTAATAAAGATAAGAGAAAGTTTTCGTGCAAATACTTTGTAAGAAGTCTAGCAAATTGAGAAAAAGTCGAAATGACTTGGCTTATTTAGAAAGAAAGAAAGAAAGAAAAATATTTACTCTATTTCTAAAGATATATTTTTAAATGTATTTTGTTTTTGTGTTAAGTTGTTTTGTAAAACTCCTAACACTTTTTGTGATACAAGTGGAGTATCTGATTGGCAACACTTGTCTTTGCTAATAAAAAGACACGAAACGTCAATTTTACACAATGGTTAATTAACACTTGGGTAAATTAAAAAAAAATGTTGGAGACATCTACGACTGTTAATGCTCATCACCTGCGTATTTTAGAAACGGAAAAATAATATTGGCGCGACGTGTTGGAAACAATTATTGCGATTGTTAAGTATTTATCTACACAATACATTTTAACAGTGGTAGCACGCGGCAGCTTTTGCTGTCGCACGGATGGGCCGGCTCGAACCGGGGTGGTACCACGACCTCACAGAAAACCAGCGTGAAGTAGAGGTTTACCTCTGCGTTTCGCTTGGTGAGTGCAGGTGGCCGGAGGCCCTTTTTACTGGAAATGAGGCATTCCATCTTAGTCCTCACGGGTGACAACGCATCTACGTTTTGATTTGTAATAGAGGATAAATGTAGATGTCTATGGGCCGCAGCAACCACTTACCATCAGGTGGACTGTGTGCTCGTTTGTCACCCTTATTCTATAAAAAAAAAAACAATGCTTGGCATTTCAAGGTTCTTTGAAATTACTTTTCGAACATGATAATGGAAATTTTCTAAAAGCTGTTGAGACGATTGCCTATTTTGATTCAGTGATGAGACAGCTGACACTGAAATTATATTTGTTTTACAGAAGAGGGCCATAAGAGCAATTTATGATTTAAAGTCTAAAGAGTAGCTGCGACAAAAATTTAAGGAAATTAATATATTAACTTTGGCCTCTCAATACATTTATGAAAATGTAATGTACGTACACAAAAATAAAAGTAATTTTACAAAAATAAGTGATATTCATTCTGTAAATACTAGGAACAGACACAAGCTAGTAGTACCAGTTACTCGACTCCATCGAGTCAGTAATTCATTCTTGGGGCGATGTATACGCTTTTACAACAAAATTCCAGAAAATATACAAAATTTGACCTGCTCAAAGTTCAAAAACTTTATTAAACTAAGTTTGTATAAAAAGGGTTATTATAATATTAAAGAATTTATAGATGTTAATAACCCCTGGAAATGAGGTGATCGCTACTAAGCTATTTCTAATTTGTTGTGTTGTTAATTTGTGTAACATACATAATTGTAAGCTGTTATTTAAAAAAAAAGTCCCGCTGGGTTTCTTGCTGGTTCTTCCCAGGACAGAGGTGTTTTTTTCGAACCAGTGGTAATTATACAAAAGAGTGACTTTCAATAAGTATTATTTATAATTTATATTGAATAAAAAAGTTTTTGTTTCTGTTTCTGTTTCAGACAACACGTTAGCCGAGTGTGTAACTCCCAAACAAAATGTGTTAAAATGACTCATTATTTAGGCGTGCAAATACAGAATGAAATAAGTGAATTATTGTCGTCTAAAGTAAGAAATAATATTTTAGAAATGGTTCGCAGTTCAAGATATTTTTCAATAATATTAGATTGTACACCAGACACTGGTCATTCTGCGCAAATTAGTCTTGTTCTGAGGTATGTTGTCCTTAACACAACTTCAAAAAAGATTGAAGTTAAGGAAAGTTTTATTGCGTTTAATCCAATAATGGACTCTACGGGGAAAGGGATATATACATTTGTGACAGAAATTTTGAAAAAATTAAATTTAGATATAAAAAATATTAGGGGACAAGGTTTTGATAATGGAGCAAACATGAAGGGACAGCATGTTGGGCTTCAAAAACGCATTCTTGACGCGAATCCGAGAGCCCTTTTTGTACCTAGTGCGGCTCATACTTTGAACTTAACAGTAAATGACGCTTCTAAAGTGTCAGATGCTACAATAAACTTTTTTAATCTTGTGCAAGAGTTATATAATTTTTTTTCGTCATCCACAAATAGGTGGGATATTCTGAGAAAAAATGTCCCTGGGTTAAGTATAAAGCCTGTAAGTGAGACAAGATGGTCCAGCAGAATTGATTCAATAAAGCCCCTTAAACTTTATTTAATTAAGGTTTGCGAAAGCTTTCTAGAAGTTGCTGAAGATAATTCCATTCACATTGAAGCAAGACATAAAGCGAGTTCCCTCTTAACGTCTGTACAAAAATTTCAATTTATTTGCGGAATTATTATTTGGCATGACGTTTTACTTCACATAAATATTGTCAGCAAACAAATGCAAAGTGCTACAATTAATATTAAAGTATGCCAAACCTACCTAAAAATTTTAGTTGATCACTTCCAGCAATATAGATCTGACCAATCGTTTGAAGAAATTCTTGTACAAGCGAAAGAAGTAGCACTCTCTCTCGAAATTGAAGAAGACTTTCCACCGTTACCAACGGTCAGGAGGAAATTTAATCCAAAACTGTTTGACTATGAACACCGAGATGAGACCCCTCATGATCCAAAAACTGCCTTTAAAATTTGTTTTTTCTTAAAAATTATAGATCAAACATTAAGCTCTCTAAAAACCGATTTGACTTATTAAATGAGTATGATAATATTTTAGCTACATATTCAAATTAAGTGACAGCGATATTTTAAAACATTGTTCTGTTCTTGAAGAACGACTGACAGATCAGGATAATAAGGATATAGACTCCAATGATTTGTTTAATGAAATTAAAGCGTTAAAGTTGTTTTCATTACCTGATGATACTGACCCCTTAAGTATTTTACAATATATATTTGAAAACAATTTAATCTCCACCATTCCAAACGTAAGCATTTCACTAAGAATTCTTCTGACATTACCTATATCTGTAGCTTCTGGCGAGCGATCTTTTTCAAAGTTAAAAATCATTAAAAATTATTTAAGATCGACAATGCTTCAAGAAAGATGGTCTGGGCTAGCGATATTAGCAATTGAACAAGAAATTTTTGATGGTATAAATTTTAGCGATGTAATTAATGAATTTGCAGTAGCAAAGTCTCGGAAAATATTGCTGCTACTTACTTACTTACTTACTTATCTTCACGCACAATCCCTGACGGGGTAGCCAGAGAGAACAGATCGCCAAGTGTCACGATCCTTACAAACCTCTTTCGCTTCTTTCAGATTCATTATCTTCTTCATGCATGCACGTCTAGGTATCCGAGTACTCTTGACCCTACCGTCTTCGAGCAATTTGCTCACATGGTCTTCGAAAGTTAGTCTCGGTCTACCTCGACACCTTTTAATATTAACTTTCGCGCTATATATTTTCTTCACCATTCGGTCTTCACTCATTCGCTCAACGTGCCCAAACCACCGAAGCACGCCCTTATCAATTTTTGTGATAAGGTCATCTTTCAAACCTGCCATATTGCGAATCTCTTCGTTTCGCTTTCGGTCGGCCAAGGTAACGCCGCACATTTTACGAAGAGATCGCATCTCCACTGCATTCAACTTACTTTTATGCTTCTTCTGGCATACCCAGGTTTCGCTGCCATATAACAAAGTCGGTACCAACACTGCGTTATGTATTGCAAGGCGTGCACTCTTCGCTACGCCTTGCCTTTTGACTAACGCAGTCAGGGCACCATTGACTTTGTTCCCGGCAGCGACACGCCTGTCCACATCTAAATCACATCTTCCATCCCGGCTAAAAGCACTCCCCAAGTATACAATTTCATTTACCTGTTCTAGACATTCCTGATTTACCCATATTTCACACTTCGTTCTCTCTTCGTCCCTTTCAAATACCAGAACCTTAGTTTTATAAGCATTCAAACGGAGACCTTTAATTTCACATTCCTCTTTCATACACGTGACTAATGCCTGCAGTTCTGCCTCTGATGGTGCAATAAGCACTGCATCATCAGCATACAGCAGACAATTTACTTTTATGTCACCCAATTTCACACCCAAACAGCTATCTTTCAGCTTCTGTAAACAGCTGTCGAGATACAGTATGAACAGCCAGGAAGACATGACACAACCCTGCTTTACGCCCGTTTGGACGTTAAACATGGGTGACAGGTCATGCCCTACCCGCACACAGGCTTTACAGTCACAGTAAAGAGACTGCACAGCCCTTAGCAATCGACCATCCACACCATACCCCGACAACAGTTCCCACATTTTCTTCCTTACAACCTTATCAAATGCTTTCTCAAGATCCACAAAAGCACAGAAAATCTTCTGGTTAGCAGCCAGAAGCTTTTCCGTGATCATGCGGAGAGAAAACATTTGATCCGTGCATCCTCTTCCAGGTCTAAATCCGCATTGTGCCTCCCATAGAAATCTTTCCGATTTCTCTTGCATCCTACGTGTCAAAACCTTCGAGTGAACTTTACTTGCTAAACTGGTCAAGCTGATCGCCCGATAGCACCCGCAGTCAAAATGTGAACCTTTACCTTTATATAAAGGCACAATGACTACGGATCGCCAATCATCCGGGACATCCCCCGTCCGCCAGCACAAATTGCACAGCAGATGAAAGCTGTCCCAGACGCGAGGCCCACCATACTTGACCATTTCAGCAGTAACTCTGTCTAGTCCCGCAGCCTTACCACATTTCAAACTTCGAATCGCACGTTCAATCTCTTTCATACTGATGATCTCAGTGTCATCGAGGTCCGGGTCTGGCGTACCAGTCACGGCGTCATCCCCGGATCCCTCACTAAGATCATCACACGCATACATTTCTCTATAAAATTCGCTCCATCGCTGCATGACGTCCGATTTTTCTGAGAGGACGTCATTAGTTCTCGAAAGCACTTTGTTCATTCTTAAGGCCGTCGCACCACTTCGGGTCCTTCCAACCTCTTTCCAGAAGAGTTTGGAGTTCTCCTTAAAGTTGTGCGACAACCTTTCGTCCGCTTCCATTCTACACCTTTCACGCACTTCCTCAATCAGTGCTTTCGTGTGAACTTTCTGCAGCCTATATCTTTCTTTCATCTTCTCTCTCATATCCTTATCATTACTAGAGGCCAAGTAGTCTAACCATGCTTTCTTCTTCTTCTTTACAGCTTCTTTCACTTCATCATTCCACCATGCATCTCTTCTTTTACTACTGCCTCTTTTTATTGTTCCACACACTTCTTCCGCTGCACTTACCATTCCATCCCTAAGGTTCTGCCAAGTTCTTTCTACACATTCTTTTCTGCCATCGATGGTGTCAAGCTTTTCGGCTACCCTCGCATGATATTTTTCCCTAGTATCCGCTTCCTGAAGCTTCCAGCTTCGGATGCGACAGACCGACTGTGGTTCTGTTACTGCCGTCCGGTAGCGCCAACCCGCGAACAGACCCCTAAATCTAGTAATCACTAGATAGTGATCCGTTCCCAGGTCAGCACCCCTGAACACTCGCGTATCCATCACCTGTTTTCGCAGTCTGTCATCCACCAGGAACAAATCGATCATACTTCTCTCATTCTTTCGTTCTCTAGTATACATATGGATTTTCTTGTGATTAAACATAGTGTTTGTCACAAGAAGACCCTTTTCCTTGCACACCGCCAGTATAAGCTTGCCAGCATCATTAACCCTTTTATCGCCAAACTTTCCAAGTACCGACTCGTACCCTGGTCGAGCGGTACCAAACCATCCATTCAAATCACCACATACAACAATTCTTTCGTTTCCCCTAGCCAAATCTAGAACTTCTCTTACATTCTCCCAAAACTCCTCCAGCTCAGCCCTGGACGACGAAGCTACCGGCGCATAAACAGCCAAAAGGAATAACTTCGTCAGTCCCAATTTAAAGCGAACCCAGAGAAGTCTTGAGTTCACAACCTTATATTCAGTCATAACATCGACCAACCGAGAAGACAGCAGCACCCCCACTCCCTGGCAGGCGCTCTCGCTCTCCGGGACTCCGGACCATAGAGCTAACGCCCCGCCAGGGAGCTCTTCAGTACCACTGCCTTTCCGCTTGGTCTCCGACATACACACGACATCTAATTCTCTTTCTTTCATTATTTCGATCAACTCATTCATCTTATCCCTCATGCCTCCTCTAACATTCCACGTGCCAACTCTGCACTCTGTCCTCCACCTTCCGCCGTGTCGGGCTGTGCGTGACGGGTGGCGGTCCCCATCGCCGCTTTGCGCGCTGCATTCCACACCAACGGGGACGAGCTGGTGTGCGTCGCCTTGGGGGGACGCCCTAACCCTCGTTGGCATGGGTGCGCAGCTGAGTAGAATTGCAGCCCTGAAAAGGGCTGGCAGGGGTCGCGACGAGCACGCTTCTACAATGACCCCCTTTTTTATTTGCTGCTACAATAGCTATTTTGTATTTTTCTATTGTACCTAGCTATCATTTTTGATTTTATAACAAAGTTACCTAGGTATTTTTTATCAGAAGTATCTGCATAGCATATTGCATATTTTTTAAAATATCGAAGTATTAGTAGAAAGTAGTGCTTATATATATGTAGACATTAGGCAATATTTCTGTTATTTGTTCCTAAAAAAGATGTGATTTTCAGTTTTGGGTTATTTTCTAGTATTTATAAACAACGGGTCTGTACCCCATTAGTTAAGTAAATGTTTTAAAATGTGTGTGAACAAGAATTTATTTTAATTTATTTTGTTATGATTTTATTCTGTTTGTTTCATTTTGATATTTTAGTCTACAAATAAATATGACTTCTAAAGTTCAGTTTTTTGCTTTATTTGAAGCACCTACCTACCTACCTACCTTCAAAAAAAAAATAAAAAAAACATGATCCAAAATGCCTTAAGGGGCGCCAAAATCCTTTTTTGCACACAGGCGCCAGTAGCCCTTACGGGAGCCCTGTACACACATACACACACTCACACACATACATAAAAACAGAACAGCTCCCTAAGACCTGAAAAGGTTGAGATCTGATGAAACCTCGATTTTCGAAAACCGGGGCGAAACCAATACGATTTTTTGAAAATCATTAATTTTCATAGCAGCAAGTTATAAATATTTAACTCAATTTGAAATTTTTGATTTTTCGGCTTAGATGTAGATGTCTGAGTCACTGAGTGACTGTGTGCTTGTTTGTCATCCATATTCTATAGAAAAGACAATGATAAAAACTATAAGTCAAATATTAGGTCCTTCTAGAATATTTACTATATCTGAGGACCTGTTAACACGGATTAACGCACGGTGCGTTTTTAGTTTCGGACCGTTTTCAACCGACTTCAAAAAAAGAGGAGGTCATCAATTCGTCGGTATCTTTTTTTATGTATGTTCACCGATTACTCGAAGACGCCTGAACCGATTTGAAAAATTCTTTTTTGTTTCAAATGGTATACTTCCCAGGTGGTCCCATTTAAATTTTATCGAAATCGGTCGAGCGGTTTTAAAAAAAATCAACAATAAATTATTTAAAAATATTGAAGTCGGTTGTACAAAAATTTTAATTTTCCCACTTGTCGCCGTGAAAATTTAAAAATTTAAGTTCTAAAGGCGACTGTAAAACAAAATCGATTATAACATTGTTGGAATCGAAATTATCTCGATCTGAACTATGATATTGATTCGCTTGAAAACGGGAAATTAAACAAGCTTATAAAGTAACTAC